TGCCCGGGACCGCCCTCCGCTGGGGCGAGGGCTACCTCCCCTTTTTCTTTTCGCCATGGCGCAGCTTAGCTAGACAGCCTTCGGTGGAGAAGTAGCCCGCCCGCCACCTTTTCGGGCTCGCCGTCGGGGCCATCCCCCTCGGGCGCCCGACATCTCACTCTCACTTGCCCTTTTGTGCCACTGCTGACTCACGTCTGTAGAGGCCTCGGCCACCCTGGAAGGTGCTGTCCGAAGATGGCAGTTCTCTTTTCTCTCAACCCTGAGCAGCGGTCAGCTGCGACCCTGGATCAACTCGGACCCACTGTTCCCACGGGTGAGTCGGCCCGCGGCAGCAGCGCTGGCAGTCAGCACGGGCCTCAGCGGACTGCAGCCGGCCCATCCTGGACCGCGCCGCAGTGGGCGGTGAGATCGACGGATCGCGCTGATGGCAGCTTAGCTAGACAGCCTCGCTGGACATGTGGCCCACCCGCCACCTTTTCGGGCTCGCCGTCGGGGTCATCCCCCTCGGGCGCCCGACATCTAACCCTCACTTGCCCTCTTGGGCCACCGCTGGCTCACGTCTGTAGAGGCCTCGGCCACCCTGGAAGGTGCTGTCCGAAGATGGCAATTCTCTTTTCTCTCAACCCTGAGCAGCGGTTAGCTGCGACCCTGGATCAACTCGGACCCACTGTCCCCGCGGGTGCGTCGGCCCGCGGCAACAGCGCTGTCAGTCAGCACGTGCCTCAGCGGACTGCAGCCGGCCCGTCCTGGACCGCGCCACAGTGGGCGGTGAGATCGACGGATCGCGCTGACGGCATTACAACACCTCACTCGAGCGGCCGTTAGCCGCGACCCTGGATCCCCGCGGGGAATGGCAGACACGGCGGGCAAGTCGATGCCCCGACGGAGCCCGCCTATCCGTCCACCTGTTGGGCCCGTGGTGTGCCCTTCTGGGGCCGTCATGGAGCCCTCTTGGGCGCTTCTTGGGTCCGTTCTGGGGCCCGCTTGGGCTGTTTTGGGGGCCTCCCGGGCCGTCTTGGGCCCTTCTTGGGCCGACTTGGGGCCCTCTTGAGAGCCTCTGGGTCTGTTTTGGGGGTCTCTTGGGCCGTGTTGGACACTGCGAAGGCCCAGGAAGCGAAGCGAAAATGCAAAATATATACGTTTTCCTAAGGGAATGGGATAGATTTTCAGTCTTTGGGCACTTTTAGGAGGTGTCGGGAGGGTACGTTGGAGGCTTCTGGAGTTGTCTGAAGAACATATTGAGTGTCTTCGAGCGATGTTTCGGCCACTCAGGGCCCTCTTGGGCCGTCTGGGCGGCCGCTGGGTTTTTTTTTATGAGCCCGCGTTCGAGCTCTCCGGGGCGAGGGGCCGATCCGGAGTGAGCTGGAACTTCGATTTTGCCACCGAAATTGACTCGACCCCCCCCCTACCCCGGCAGAGCCACCCGGCACCCGCCCCCCCAGCAGAGCTGAAACTCAAGAATTGAGGCTCAGGCTATATCTGAGGGTTATATCTATGCATATATATATATATATATGTGTGTGTATATATATATATATGTCGGACGCATGCTCAAGCTTATTTCCCAGAACAAGTTTCAACCTCCTGCGGTAGTCCCAGCTGCTGTGGAGAATTTCGCGTGACCATATGCAGCAGCGCGTAACTTAGACAAACGTATCCCAATGCTGTGAGGATGTTTTCGTTTGTCTGGGGATATTTTTGGCGAGAGCTACAATTTAGTGAGAACCAACGTCGTAAGCAACATCCCCAGTTTGTGAGGATATCTCTAGCGAAACGCTTCTCCTCCTCCTCCTCCTCCTCCTCCTCCTCCTCCTCCTGCTCGTCACCCCATCCAGTCTAGGGCCAAGGGCACGACAACACAAAGATAACCTTGGGCCCAAGCCCTTACCAGGAAACGTTTCAAATGAGCATCAAAATGCCGAGGAGCTAATGACATAATTGCATTGTTAGGGCTTTCCGTTTGAAAGTGGCAGTCAGGAAGGTCTTCTCGGGGTCGCCCCCGGTGCCGGGGGACACCGGGGACATCGTCGTTATCTTCCCGCTCGTCCGCTTGCTCGCACGCATGTCGTAAGATTCGGAATGCCTTTGGTCCTAGTCCTGTGGTGAGCAGGGGAGGTTGTGCCGTGATGCGCCTATCATCAAGGCGGGCACGTCCCTCTACAGGAGGACGATTCAAACATAGTTCAAAATAGTCAGGCGACGATGTTTTAAAAGTATGCTTGAAGATCTGTTTTGTTGTTGTTGTTGTTGTTGTTGTTGTTGTTGTTGTTGTTGTTGTTGTTGTTGTTCGAATTTGTTCGTCCAACATCCGCCTGTAGGAGGAGCCGCCCAACCTAAGCCTACCAGCGCTCCGCAGGATCTCTCGCTGCGACTGCCTCCAGGGATGGTCCGGGCCCGGCGTGCGCAGACGCCCGCAGGCGTGGCCCCTTGTGGATCTCGCGGCAGGCCCCCTGCGTCTGGTGGCCTCCCCGCGGGAGGGCCCGAGCTGCGCGTCCTGGGCCCCTCCGTGCTCCGACTGCCGAAGGCATGCGTGCGGCTTCTATCCGGGCAGCCCGCCGCACTTCTGCCGTCCGCTTGAGTGCAACCGTGTCCAACAGGAGCGCAACACTGTGTCGGGAATGGAGGCCGCCCATGGGGGGGGGGGGTATCTAAGACGGTTGCCGCTTGCCCCTCGCTGGGACCACGTGTTTTCGTGCGTCCAGGCCACCCAGGTCGCAAAGCCCATGCGGTGGCGATTGCGATGCATGCTTGGCGTTGGCTGGTGCATCTGCGGCCGCACCAACCCGAGCGTGCGCGCAGCGGCCAGCTTGTTTGGCGCGACCAACGCGGCCGCGGTGGCGCTGACCGCTGGGAATATCCCAGCGGGCACTTCATTGCGAGTCGGCGACGTGGGCGGGCGCGGTATCATGGCAACGTCGAAAACAGTAGACATAATGATGATAGTAGCGATGCTAGTGGCGATGCTGACAACGACGCAGGCGCGGCGCGGGCGCCGATGCCAATCGCGCCGACGACGATGATGGCGTTCCCGCGTCGGTGATGAAGGTTTTGGAAAGGGTTCGACATGCGCGCGCGGCCGACGCACGAGAGTGACCCGCATGATATTATTTGACACGGGTCGTACCCCCCTAGCGCGCGCGAGGGCGCGTGCATGATGTCGGCTTGCGGCGCGAGAGGCCCGTATTCCATGACAGTGTTGAACAACTTGTGGTTTTCGCAAGAATGCGCAAGGGCGCGAGCGTTTTTTTCGGACAGCGGATGTTGCGAAACCGTGTGCTGTTAAATGCTTTTGGGCATTCGGTTTCGAAATCGTTACGACACCGTCGGTTTTTGATGGATTTCGGCATGCGCGCGCGACGGCGCGCGCGCGTGCACATCGTCCCGTTTTTTGTTGCAACGGACTTTCGCGACGGCATGCGCGCAAGGGCGGTCGAACGGTTTCGAGATGCGCGCGCGTGAAGCTCTTTTGGTAACACTTTCGGAACATAGTTGAAGCCCTACGTTTTCAGCGCACGTTTTTTTGACACCGGATGTTGCGATGCCATGTGTTTTTATATGTTCTTTTGAACACTCGGTTTTGCACGTGTCACGACACCGAAGGTTGTGGACGGATTCCGGCATGCGCAAGCGACAACGCGCGCGTGTGTACTCGTTTCATTTTTGGGAAATCGTGTTGAACACTTATGATTTTGGATCAACGAGTCTGCGCTCATAGTATTTGTTGCAAAAGCATGGCGGGGGGGGGGGCTGATACCGGCCATTATGGGCTGGTGTAAATTCATATTTGGGATGGACGATGCGGCAGAATCGCATGTAAATTGCAATACGAAGAGGGGGGCGATAATGCACGGGAGGGGTGTAGAGTTCATTCTTTGTGTATAGAGAGAGAGAGAGAGAGAGAGAGAGAGAGAGAGAGAGAGAGAGAGAAAGAGAGAGAGAGAGAGAGAGAAAGAGAGAGAGAAAGAGAGAGAGAGAATCTATGCGACGGCGACAGCGGCGACGGGCGGCACCGCCTGCAAAAGCTGCCACTCACCCTGAGCGGCGGCGACGGCGACGGCGACGGCGGCGACGGGCAGCATCGCAACGTGGCGTAATTTACAAGGGATCGTGGCCTCGGGGGCGCGACTGTGGCGTAATTTGAAGGGCCCCAGAGGCGATAATGTGGCGTAATTTACGGGAGATCGTGGCCTCAGAAGCGTAAATATGGCGTATTTTACACGTGGGATCGTGGCTTCGGGGACGCGAGCACGGCGTCATTTTCGAGGGATCGTGGCCTCGTGGGCGCGAAAACAGCGTAATTTACGTGGGATTAATGCGTCGGGAGCGCGAATCTCATGCATTTTTAGATATATCACGCCCCCCCTCCAGAAATTTAGAGCACACGACTCGGGCGTGGTAACAGGGTCCTTTTCGGCTCGTCCTCTTCGCGCGGACTTCAACAGTTGACAGTCGGAAGCGGAAAGCAGGACTGTAACACTGGAAACTGGAAATCGGAACTGGTGCAGGGAGCAGGACACCTCCTCCACGCAGCCTGACGGCCCCGCAAGGGGGCCGGCGGATCCCTTTCCAGGTTCGTGGGCCGGTCATGTTTGTGATGGAGGAAGGGGAGGAAGGGGAGGAGGGGAGGGCGCGAAGGCGAGCAATGGCGGGGACGGCGACGAGGCAGTAGATGTTGAGGAATTGGAATCGGAGGGGGGGAGGGAGGGGAGGAGGGGTAAGAAGAGGATGCAATGTCCAATGCTCTCTGCGTGTTCAGCCTTCCCCGTCCCATCCCAGTCTCCTCATCCTCTTCCTCCTGCCGCCCTTTTTTCCTTTGCCCTCCTCGTCCTCCTCCTTCGCCTTGCCCCCTCTCCTCGTCCTCCTCGTCCTCCTCCTCCCCGTTCGCCCTCCTCCCGCTCCTCCTCGCTCGTCGTCCTCCCCCCAACCCGCCCTCGCCATTCTCGCCCTCGCCATTCTCGCCCTCGCCCTCGTCACCCTTCCCCCCCGCCTTGCGCCGAGAGGACGCCGAGCGAGTCGGCGCCGACCACGACGGGGGCTACGTCTGGTGCAACGACGCGGCGCCGCACCCGAAGCCGGAGGGCGGCTGCACGCTGTTCGGGTACGGCATCGACAGCGAGGACGAGTTCGAGCAGCAGGCAGCGGAGGAGGGAGAGGGGAGGAGATCAAGGACGACGAACGATGAGGGCGAGGAGGACGAGGTGGACGAGGATGCGGTTGCGGGGCGGGGGGCTGGGGAGGAGGATGAGGAGGAGGAGGAGGAGGAGGAGGAGGAGGAGAAGGCGGACTTTCCCCTAGCCAGCCCCATCCTGCTCCACTTCCTCCTCCCCTTCGTCCTCGTGATCATCCTTGAGCTCCGCCTTCTCCTCCAGCCTTCCTCCTCCTCGACACCCTCCACATCCTCCATTATCCACGCTCTAATAATCCACTCCTCCTCCTCATCATCATCACCATCACCATCGGCATCGCCATGGACATCACCAGCATCATCATACTGATCCGAAGCAAGACCGTCATCACCACCACATTCACAATCACCACCACACCACCACCATCATCACTGCAATTATCACCACCATCAGCACCATCAGCACCGTCATCCTCATCACCATCATGACCTTCATCGTCATCATCATCATCATCACCATCATCATCATCATCACCATCATCAACATCATCATCATCACCATCATCAGCATCAGCAGCATCCACATCATCATCACCACCATCCTCATCATCATCATCATCACCATCACCATCACCATCACCATCACCATCACCACCATCATCATCGTCGTCGTCGTCATCATCATCATCTTCGTATGAATATTCATCTTCATCTTCATCTTCATCTTCATCTTCATCTCCATTTTTTCATTTTCATCTTCATCTCCATCTCCATCTCCATCTTCACCATTATCGTCATCATCTTCACGCCATCGTCATCGTCGTCGTCGTCATCATCATCATCAGCATCACCATTACCACCATCATGGAGCGGTGGAGCTGTGGAGGGTGTTTGCGATCTGTGACGTGCAGTCGAACTTCGGCCGCCCGGAGGTGCCCGTATCATCATCAGCATCATCATCATCATCATCGTCAGCATCATCATCATCATCAGCATCAGCATCAGCATCAGCATCATCATCTTCATCTTCATCTTCATCTTCATCTCCATCTTCATCTTCATCTTCATCATCATCTTCATCATCACCATCATCAACATCATCAGCATCAGCATCAGCATCATCAGCATCATCAGCATCAGCATCAGCATCAGCATCAGCATCAGCATCAGCATCAGCATCAGCATCAGCATCAGCATCATCATCATCATCATCATCATCATCATCATCATCATCATCATCATCAGCATCATCATCATCATCATCATCATCATCATCATCATTATCATCATCACCCTCATCGTTTTCCTTCTCCCCTCCTCCCCCCTTTTCCTTCTCCTCCTCCGCCTCCCTCCCTCCCTCCCTCCCTCCCTCCCTTCCCTCCTCCCCTCCCCCCTCCGCGAGCAGGTGGCCGAGTGGGGCTGCCAGGTGCACGAGTTCGACCCGACGGTCGAGCGCACCCAGGGGGAGCATGCGTACCCAGAGCCTCGGCTGTTGCCTGCTGCTCCCGCTCTTCCGCCGCTGCGCTTGCGGAGCAGCAGGGCCACGCTGTACGGGGCCCAGGGCCTCCTCCTCCTCCTCCTCCTCCTCCTCCTCCTCCTCCTCCTCCCCCGCCTCCTCCTCCCCCTCCTCCTCCTCCTCCTCCTTCTCCTCTTCCTCCCCCTCCTCCTCCTCCTCCTCCTTCTCCTCCTCCTTCTTTTCTAGTTCTCAGAACGGGCAGAGGCCCAGGGCTCTCGTTTAGTTGGGTAGCCCCCCAGCCTCAATGTGAGGTGGGCCGGCGGAATTTTATTCTGCGATAGAGATCGGGGTCGCGTAGGGCAGGCGGATGAGATAATTGAGGATGTCTCAGGCGATTCGATGCACATGGGTTGCGGACGTCTGAGGCGAAATGCTGGTTTTGCAGAATTTGGGGATGTCTCGAGCGGGGGCCTCGTGGGAGGCCAGAATTCAGAGGATGTCTTAGGCGAAATGCTTGTTTCCAAGTGCCGAGGTCGTCCAGGGGGGTATCTAACATGGTTGTCCCTAGATGGAACAACGTGTTTTCAAGTGTCCAGGCCGCTCAGCAGGATATCTAAGATAGTTGTCCCTTGCCCCTCGCTGGAAACAGCTGTTTTCACGTATCCAGGACACCCACAGGGGTATCTGATACGGTGGCCCCGAGCTGGAACCGCGTGCTTTCACATGTCCAGGCTTCCCAGAGGGGTATCTAACATGGTGGTCCCGAGTTGGAACCACGTGTTTTCACCTGTCGAGGCCACCCAGGGGGATCTCTGACATGGTGATCCTGAGTTGGAACCACGTGTTTTTCCCCAAATGTTTCGTGGGGTTCGGGTTTTCTTCTCTCATTTCTCACACCCTCTCCCTCACCTCCTCCCCTTTCCTCCTCCTCCTCCTCCTGCTCCACCTCCTCCTACTCCTCCTCCTTGCACCCCGCCAGCGTCGCATCCGCGTCTCCTACCAGACGCATGCAACACATGGCGGCATTGACATGAGACACGCGGCCACATACGGCCGTGCACGCAGCACACATACGCGTAGAACGTATACAGCACATATACAGACAGAACACATACGCGGCATTGACATGAGGCACACGGCCGCAAACAGCCGCACACACACACACATATCATACACATACATAAGACACACAGACGCAGATCGGGTCACCCACATGACACGCACACCGCACAGCACATACGCGTAGGATTCGCAGGGCGTGGCAGGCATGGCACTTCTCGACACCAGGGGAGTGCGCAAGAGGTAGTCCCCCAGCGAGGTCTCTATGCGTGGCAGGGTCGGAAATCGTGGCAGGCGCGGCGCTTCCTCGACACCAGAGGAGGTGCGCGGGGGTTGGTCCCTCCTCAGCGCGGTCTCTATGCGTGGCAGGGTCGGAAACGCGTGGCAGGCGTGGCACTTCCTCGACACCAGAGGGGCTGCGCCCCTCAGCGCGGTCCCTATGCGTGCCAGGGTCGGAAAGGCGTGGCATTTCCTCGACGCCAGAGGGGGAGCGCAGGGGGTGGTCCCCGAGCGCGGTGTCTATCCACGACACTGTCGCAAAACCTCGCAGGCGTGGCACTTTGTCGACGACAGAAGCGGTTGTGCAGAGGGTGGTTCTGAGCGCGGTGTCTACCCACGACACTGTCGCAAGACCTCGCAGGCGTGACACTTTGTCGACGCCAGAAAGGGGTGCGCAGGAGGTGGTCCCTCAGCGCGGTCTCTGTCCACGACACTGTCGCAAAGCCTAGCAGGCGTCGCACTTTGTCGACGCCAGGAGGGGGGTGCGCAGGAGGTGGTCCCTCAGCGCGGTGTCTGTCCACGACACTGTCGCAAAGCTTGGCAGGCGTGGCACATTCTCGACTCCAGACGGGGTGCACTGTGAATCAAGATACAACGTACATGCGAAGCGATGACAAATACGTTGAACACAGTATGTGGGGTTCCTCTGTAGCGTAATTACGTGTCCAGGCCGCACAGGCTGAAATCTAATATGGTTGGAACCATGTGTTTTCACTTGTCCAGGCCACCCGGAGGGGGTATGTAACATGGTGGTCCCGAGCTGGAGCCACGCGAAATCACGTGTCCAGGAGGCTCCAGGAGGCACTTTTTCTGGGAAAAGGCTTCGGCCCAGGGTTTTCTTTTGGTAGTTTCACCCCCGGATCTTACTTGAGGCGGGCCGGCGACATTCCGCTCGACAGAAAACTATGTAAAGTGTGATTTTCTACTGAAAATGTGCGTTTTGCGCGTGCCCGCTTGAGGAAGGTGCGCCCCCCATCTCGGATCCTCGATCGATAACGGGGTCCTCAGACCACGGTTTGCCATTGCCAACTAGAAGGGTGCGGAGTATTTTTTGCAAAATCCGCGTCAAATCACGGGGTCAGTAGGCCTTGATATTTTTCAGAACATGGAAAAAACAAGTAGACGTTGTGCGTGCCCGCTTGAGGATGGCGCGCCCTGCACGCCGAACCCCCGAGGATGTCTCGAGCGAAGCGCTCGTTTGGCAGAGCCTTGAGGTGCCTGGGCGCCCCAGGATGCCCAGGCGGTTCGGGGAGAGCGGACGCGCGGCTATTTTTTTCCAGCGATCGTGGCCACGGGGCCGCGGGCGCAGCGTAGTGTGCGAGGGAGCTTGGCCCTGGGAGCGCCGACGCAGCAGAATCGTGGCCCTCTGAGTGCGAACCCGGGGTAATTTACGGGGGGTCGTGGCCCTGGGTGCGCGAATCCTTTGCCGTTTGCAAGGGAGCTTGGCCCTGGGAGCGCCGACGCCGTGTAATTCACGACAGATCGTGGCCCTGGGGGCGCGGACGCAGCGTAATTTGCGATGGATCGCGGCCCCGGCAGTACGGACGCCGCGGAATTCTCTAAGGGGTCGTGGCCCTGGGAGCGTGAATCTTTTGTAAGGGATCGGGGTCCTGAGAGCGCGAACCCAGCTGAGTTTGCAAGGATTCGTGGCCCTCGGAGTGCGAACCCAGCGTAATTTACAAGGAATCGTTTATCTGGATGCGCGAATCCTTTGCACTTTGCGGGGGATCGCGGCCCTGGGAGCGTGAACTCAAGGTAGTTTACGAGGGATCGTGGCCTTGGGAGCGTGAATTCAATGTAATTTACAAGGGGATCATGGTCTTGGGAGCGCGGACGCAGCATGTAGTCTACGAGGGATCGTTGCCCAGGGAGAGCGGACGCATTGTTATTCGCGAAGGATCGTGGCCCTGAGAGTGCAGACGCAACGTAATTTAGAAGGGGTCGTGGCCCTGGGGCCGCGGACACAGCGTAATTTACGAGGGATCGTGGCCCTGGGAGCGCGGACGCAGCGTAATCTACGAGGGATCGCGGCCCTGGGAGCGCGGACGCAGCAGAATCGTGGCCCTCTGAGTGCGAACCCGGGGTAATTTACGAGGTGTCGTGCACTCGGGGTAACTGGGCACCTGGGCACCCGGGCACTCGGGCACCCGGGCACCGGGCATCCTGGCACCTGGGCACCCGGGCCCGCCGCCGAAATCGGCGGCACACTTCACCTAACCATATGAATCCGATAGGACCCCTACAGAGGCAAGCTCTGATTGGGGAATAGCGGGTCATGGCCCTGGGAGCGCGGACGTAGCGCAATTTACTATGGATCGTGGCCCTGTGAGCGCGAACCCAGCGTGTTTTGTCATGGATCGTGGCCCTGGGAGCGCGAACCCAGCGTAATTTATTGCCACTGGGGCCTGGACACAACGTAATTTACGAGGGATCGTGGCCTTCTGAACGCGAACCGCTCGTGCTTGACATGGAACCGTGGCCCTGGGAGCGATTTACGAGGGGTCGCTGCCTTGGGAGCGCGAACCCAGCGTAGTAATTCTAATAATTTGCAAAGGAGCGTGGCCCTGGGAGCGCGATACCAGCGTAATGTGCGAGGGATCGTGGTCCTGGGAGCGCAGAGGCAGCGCAATTCACGAGCGATCGCTGCCCTGGTGACGCGGACGCAGCGCAATTTACGCGGGGCCGTGGCCTTGGGAGCGTGAACGCCGCATAATTTACGATGGGTCGTGGCCCTGGGAGCGCGAATCCATTGTAATGTGCGAGGAATCGTTGCGCTGGGAGCGTGCACTCAGCATAATGTACGTGGGACCGCGGTCCTGGGAGCGCGAAGGCAGCGCAATTCACGCGGGATCGCTGCCCTGGGAGCGCGGGCGCAGCGCGATTTCCGAGAGATCGCGGCCTTGGGAGCGCGGCCCCGTCGTATTGCATTAGTTTCTGGGTCCGTCGCGTGTGGCCCTTTTCTGGGTCCGCGGTGTCTGGGGAGCGGGGGGAGTTGGGGGTCTGTAGCCCACTATGGCGAGCGAGGGGGTTCCCCTCGAGCCAGTCTGACACTGGCCTCCCTCCCCCCTTCTCCTCCTACTCCTCTGCGCCTTCCCCCCTCCTCGTCCCCCTCTTCGTCGTCCTCCTCCCCCCCTCTACTCCCCCCCCTTCTCATTCTCGACCCCCCGTCCCCCTTTCCCCCCCGTTCTTTGTACCCCTTGTCCTCCTGCTCCCTTCCCCCCTTCTTCTCCTCCCCCTGTCCGCCTTTCCCCCCCCCACCTGGTCCCTTTCGCCGTCGTCCTTCTCCTCCGCTCCGCCCCTCTTAGCTGTCCCTCTCCCTGCACTGGTGGGGCGGGGAGGGGGGGGGATGGTGCAACGATAGGGGGGTATAGGCATCCTAGCTGCCCTGCTACGCCCGTCCTGAAACGCAACTCGTGCCGTGTTCAAAACGTAGCGTCCGTGTTAGCACGCTGCGACTTGGCTCAACGTGTTGGCCCGAGTTTTGGTGAACATGTCGCGCCAAATGCACGTTGTAAGCATACGTGCCGAGTTCCATGCCAACACGTTACGTGTTGCGTGTTGCGTATGGGGGCAGCTAGGCTACCCATATTATACCGTCTGGAAGAAACATCTGGGGACGTCTTGTCCACGGGGGGTTGTCCCCATCCCCGCTGGGTTGTCTAAGGGGTTGTCCGGGGTATGTCGTCTCGTCGTCATGGTATCAACACTAGCAGGATTGTCGGGGCTATCTGGGGGGTTGTTCTGATATTTGTTTGATTGCATTCTTTTTCCATTGAACATAGTACGTGGGATGCATCGGCCCCCAATGGCCCATTGATCGCCGATAGGGGGCTGATAGCTTCGCCCCGCCCAGGAAGGTGTGAATTTGACATCGGGGGCAGATCGCTGATCTATCGGCGATGCATCGCCGGTTCCAAGTCGGTGTTTCCCCCTCTATGCCAGTCCGCCCCCTGTCGTTGCCCCTTAGGGGGATGCGAGAGGTACCCCGATCGTGTGCACTTCCACCGCGAGGGGGCCGCGGACGCGCAGGGGACAGTGGAAGGCTTCTGCTGCGGGAGGAGGAGGAGGAGGAGGAGGAGGAGGAGGAGGAGCAGCAGCAGCAGCAGCAGCAGCACGAGAACGAGGAGAAGCGTTTGAGGAGATCGAGGAAAAGGACGAGGAAGAGGTATAATAACAAGCATGAGGCGGAAGGAGGAGATGGAGGGTGAGGATGAGGCGGAGGATGGTACGATCGAGAATAACATATGATGAATGGTCGGGAGGACGGCACCAAGCAAGAGGAGGAGGAGGAGGAGGAGGAGGAGGAGGAGGAGGAGGAGGAGGAGGGGAGGAGGAGGAGGAGGAGGAGGGAGGTCCCAGGAGGGAGATGAGAAAGCTGGGAGGAGGAAGAGAAGGAGGAAGAAGAGGAGGAGGAGAAGGAGGAGGAGGAGGAGGAGGAGGAGGAGGACGTATGGACGTTCTTCTGGCCCAGGTCTGACTGCATGAGGCGTGGCTCAAGGAAGCGAGTGACCAGCGACGGCCCCACTTGGAAGGAGGAGCCGCCCTGCATTCGTGCAGCTGGTTCGGTGGCGAGCGAGGGGGGGAAATGAAAAGGAGAAGGCCTTCTCAGAAGGCGGCGAGCGAGGGGGGGGGGGAGGAACTTCGGGTTCGAGGTTCGAGGTTTTCAGACGTTTTCGTGGATTCTCGGCGGTTTTCCAGCCTCGGGATGCTTGCCAGCAGTTGCGCCTCGCCGCGGGCGTTCCGGGGGTGCCGGGATCGTCCCGAACGGCCGCCGGAGACCCGAGTTATGACCCAAAAGCCAAATTCTGCAGCGAGCGAGGGGGGAAGTGATAAGGAGAAGGCCTTCTCAGAAGGCGGCGGGACTTCTCAGAGGCCCTCGCGCCTTCTGACAGATTTGCGGCGTCTTCGGGGAAGGCTTAGAAAGATTTTCAGGAGGCCCTGGGACATCCGAGCCTTCAGAGGAGGCCCACCCCTCCCCTTTCCCCCCCCTCGCTCGCCGCCTACGGTTGCCTCGAGAAAAAATGCTGGCTCGCAGCAGGGAGCGAAGGCTCGGGCGACAGCGCAAGCTTGAAGAGTAGCCGTTCTACGTCGCTGTAGTGGCGGCACACTGTTCTGCTTGCAGCCGTAGGCGTTGAGGATGTCTCGGGCGGGAGTCCCATGTTTTTACGGACGTGCGGGCCTTTCTTCGTGCAGCTGTCGTGAAGCTGTCGCGAGCGTCTGGGGCGGCTGTGCGCTGCGCCCGTGCGAGAACAGCAAGGTCTAGAACCAGCGGCCCTCCATCTGTGTAGCGGTTGGGACTTCGACGCTTCGGGAGAGCCGAGGCCCGCGGACACGTCCAGGGGTGGGACAGGGGCACTTTTTGTTTTTTCTCCAAATAGGTTTGCCCTGTAGGAGTCTTGGCTCATCATGCGCAAATGGTCTGTAGGACCCCGCCCTTTTTCCAATGGCCCCCCCCTTATTTCCAATGGCCCCCCAGCTATTTCCAATGGCGAATCCGATGGATTCCTATGGATTCCTATGTATTCTTATGAGTCGCTTGCCCTTGCTTGCTCTTGCGTGCTCTTGCTTGCTTGCTCTTGCGTGTTTGCTATCGCTTGCTTGTTCTTGCTTGTCCTTGTTTGCTTGCACTTGATCGCTGGCACCTGCTTGCTTGGTATTATCCAACTAGGTTTGCCCTATATGAGTCCTAGCTCATCACACGTAATTGGTCTTTGACCCCCCCCCGTCTCTTTCTCCAATGACCCCCCCCCGTATTCCCAATGACATCACCCCCCTTTCCAATGGCACTTGTTTGCTTGCTCTTGCGTGCTTGCTCTCGCTTGCTTGCTCTTGCTTGTCCTTGCTTGCTTGCACTTGATCGCTGGCTCGTGCTTGCTTGTTATTGCTCGCTTGCGCTTGCTTGCTTCCGCTTGCTGGCTTGCGCTTGCTTGATTTTGCTCCTCCCGTTCTCCTCCCGTCCTGCTCCCTTTCTCCTTTCGTCCTCCCATCCTCCTCTCGTCTTCCTCTTGTCTTCCTATCTATTTGGGGTCAACGCTTGCTGATATGTGGAAAGAGGGCTGCGAACCGCGCAAGTGTCGCCCATTTCGTGGGCGCCCGGGAGGTCAGCGGAGTGGAGGTCCACGCAGATCTGCCGAGACCTCGCGGCTCTCTCCGGGGTTGCGAACCGCGCAATTGTCGCCATTTTCGTGGGCTCCCTGGAGGCGCGGCGGAGTGGAAGTCCAAGCAAATCTGCCGAGACCTCGCGGTTCCTTGCGATGCGAACCGCGCAATTGTCTTCCATTTCATGGGCTCCTGGGAGGTCCAGCGGAGTGGAGTCCACGCCGATTTGCCGAGACCTCGCGGCTCTTTGCGGGTTTGCGAGCCGAGCAATTGTCGCCCTTTTTCGTGGGCTCCTGGGAGGTCCAGCGCAGTGGAGGTTCACTCGTGCCCAGCCTGGACCTTGTGGCTCCTTGGTGGGTGGCGAAGTGAGCGTCAGTCATCATGTTCGTTTGTGGGGGGCGGTTCTTAATCTAGCTGCCCTGTGTTCGAGCAGGGTTGGGTATGTTACCGCGTGTTATGATTGTTCGCCATCCGTATTCGCATCCGTAATCGCATCAGTATCGGTAGTATTTGTAGTCATTTGTGCTAGTAGAAGTCGTCGTCGTCGTAGTAGTGGTAGTAGTAGTAGTAGTAGTAGTAGTAGTAGTCGTAGTAGTAGTAGTAGTAGTAGTAGTAGTAGTAGTAGTAGAAGCAGTAGTAGTAGTAGTAGTTGTAGTAGTAGTGGTAGTAGTAGTCGTAGTAGTCGTAGTAGTAGTAGTAGTAGTGGTAGTAGTAGTCGTAGTAGTCGTAGTAGTAGTAGTAGTAGTAGTAGTAGTCGTAGTCGTAGTAGTAGTAGTAGTAGTAGTAGTAGTAGTAGTAGTAGTAGTAGTAGTCGTAGTAGTAGTAGTAGTAGTAGTAGTAGTAGTAGTAGTAGTAGTAGTAGTAG